GGCACCCAGTTCATAGCAGTGCTTATATTGATTTTCTGACATCTTGTTTTCTGTAAAGATTTTATTGGTAGGTTTGCAAATGTGTATCAGACTGTGCAATCTCTCCATGAGTTGGTTTTGAAACCCAGTATGGGATCTGAGATACATTACCAAGGATATTATTACAAGATAAATCATTTGCTTCATTGAACACATACAACAATGCATATTTCCACTGAGATCAGTGACCTTTGATGTGTATCACCAGTGATCAGTCAAGTAGAAACAGTCAAAATATTTTATCAGATTTTCTCAATTTTTGCATGATATTTTCATACAGGACATCTGTTGTTCAAACTCAGGGAAGACTTTATACTGATGAATAAGGTGACCAAGTTTGATAAAGTTTGGAATAGAATTAGTAAAGTTATTATGCACACAATAACAATTATTAACGACGACGACAACGACGACGACAACGCCGAACAAAATTTTCCCCTTAATATACCTTTCCCTTCCATCTTTGATGGTACGGGCAAGGTAAAAATTACAACATTGGCATTTAAAATAAGAATATTTGTTACTACTTAACTAGACACTACTGTATTTGCACTGTTACAAGGGCATGCACAAACAAATAACCCAAATAAATGGATCAATGTACTTATAATAACACCAAAACTTGATCAGTTATACCTGGCATACACCTACAAATGTATATTGTAGATGTGTCTCTAAAAGAGCAGATACTTATATTCTTTTATTTCAGATGTGATCTTAGACTATTGAATAACCTGAGAGTGCACATAAACATTGATTTTTTCAGCTACCTCACACCATTGAGTAAAAGTATCATAAGTGCAGAATCTCGTCATCTGCTTTGCCATGGTAATCAGCTTAACCTAGTGATCTTTTCCTTCATAAGGGTTTAAACTCACTCAAGTGTCTTACACATCATTGTCAGTGACGACATGTGGGAAGCTAAAATACCAACGACATGTGTCGTAGCATGCAGATTTGTATCGCAAGATGGCTTTATAAGAGTAACTGTACTGGAACTACCCACTGAATACCAATGACAGTATAGATTAACTAATCAGTTACCAACAACTGGTTAGTTTTCTATAAAATTCTAAAAAACAAATTTAAGGATTACTTTTTATTCAGGTATCATCACATTCCGGTATACACTTTTAAGCAAATTTTTTCAAATTTGTTAATTCATCTAATACTGAGCTAAAATGAATTTTTCGGTCCTTAATGTATATCTGGACAACATCTAGATATTTATTTCTAAAATTCATTATTAGAGGTTTCAAATGACTTGCCTGGTAACCATACTCTGATTTTCGATGAAAAGACACTTTGGCTGTTTAAAAAGTTTATTTTCACTGATTGTTGATGAGTTGAATATAAAATGTAGGAAAAAAAGGCATTTGCACTAGATGTATTTTTCACTACCTCCAGGTAATGCACAAAAACAGGGAAAATAAATTCTAAGTGAAAATAAAGTACCCGGCACTTTACAGCATGCAACAAAGAAAATTTTGCAATTATATTAAATTAAATTATATTAAAGTAAATTTGATGCCAACTGACAATGACAACGAGGGACAACCTGTAATATGAACAGCTCTCTTCCATGACAGGGGACATAAAAATAAGTGATTATATGTGTAACATTAAATCTCTTGTGAACAACTGTATAATGTCACTGTCACTGTCACTACGATATCTTAAGTGAACAGCAATGCCAACAAAATCAGATGTCTTCTCTAGGGTCTACCACTAAACAAATGAAATTGTCCCTCACAATCCCATTTTCCTTCGGTATTTATTTTTACTGTTTCTTCGTGGAAAGTTGTTTTTCATTTTGCCCAAGAAAATTTGTAAATAAATACATATGCAGGGATTTTTTTAAACAAGGGACCAGGGGCGCAGCGCCCTCATGCCATAGTCATGCGCCCCCTTACCCTGGGGAGCAGATCCTCTGGCAACCATAAAAGTCTGATTGACCAGAGGGAGAACCCTATCTCTCCCACTTAGTGACACCGCTGAATCGCAGTGCTCACTCATGCAGTTTTTTTCTAGAAAAAACCCTGCATATACATTACATTTGCAAATAATTTTGAATAACTTCAAAAGAAATCTGCCACACATATTTTTAAATTTTTAACAAAGCAAATATAAAACACCTAACGATTAATGAGAGCTATACTACCCTTAAAAGGCAATAATCTTTCCCACCAAAATAATGATGTATATGTAAATTTATTTTATTAATTAATTTCAAACACTTTTTTGTTAATTCAAGCTGACTTAAAAACAAATTTCAATAAATCTGAAAAAAGGATTATGAAAAGTGGTGAAAAATTACTGTGACATTTTAAGTGTTAAACACAGGATTCGAGTCAACCAGACAAATGCCAAATGGGAGTTATTTGGGACACAGAGTATTGTTAAACAGATGGCCATTGACGGGAAATGATGTGGAATGATGTCTTTAAGACACACCATCCATAGAGGGGAATTACCTATTATTAAAGCATCCTAGAGGTTAATGAGTTTGTGTAGTGGATCATGTACAAGTTCCATTCACTGCATAAGAGTGGCCATGCCAACCCACAGGGCAATAACCTTGATTATCACTGCAAATACATGTCCCAAAAATACATAAGGAGTCTCACTATAGCTGCATTCAAACAGATTCTGGCATCACTGTCATCCAGCATATAATACCCCACATATGTGATAATATTTCAATAAAATGCATGAACTTTAGTTTGCAATCTCAGTGAAGCGCGCTAATGTTATCTTTGTTTACTTAATTTTACTTAAACAAGCAGCCTGTCCGCTGAGATAGCTCTCGCTGTTAGCAATGCACATTTCAATTAAAGAACAGAAGATATCATTAGAAAATGAACAATATGCATAGTATCAATGCAATGGACTTGCTGTTTTCAACAAAAATTCAAAAATATAATTTTTAACCATAAATGATTGTGGTTTTTAACAAGAAGAAAATATCACTTTTTACCAAAAATAACAAAAATATTCATCAAAATTAGAGAATTGAAGATATCATCATGAAATGAACAAATTTGAGAGTGGTCCATATGTAGTATCTACCTTATATATGTAATATCAACTTAAGCAATTGGACTTGTCGTTTTTAACAAGAAGTCGAAAATATCACTTTTTACCAAAAATGACAAAAATATTCACCAAAATTAGAAAATTAAAGATATCATTACAAAATGAACAAATCTGAGAGAGATTCACATGTAGTACCTATATATGTAATATCAAAACAATTGGACTTGCGGTTTTTAACAAGAAGTCGAAAATATCACTTTTTACCAAAAATGACAAAAATATTCACCAAAATTAGAAAATTAAAGATATCATTACAAAATGAACAAATCTGAGAGAGATACACATGTAGTACCTATATATGTAATATCAAAGCAATTGGACTTGCAGTTTTTAACAAGAAGTTGAAAATATCACTTTTTACCAAAAATGACAAAAATATTCACCAAAGTT